AACTTCTAGGCGACTGATGCGATCTGTGAGTGCGCCTGACCTCCTCCGTTGGTCCGAGAGCTGTCGAAACAGTCTCTGGACTGCCACCGGCGACTTCGCAATGGTCGTCGCTGTTGGGCAGTGTGTCATAGCTTTTGTCGAAGACGTCTTCCAGCTCTGACTCCTAAGAAGCAGAAAAGAATTATTTGTGAAGACTTACTGGCGAGGACAATGCTTCCCTCCCGACGAGAAATAAAGTCTTGTTGATGGTTTGCTTAAGTAAACCATTCACTTTGTTCGTTCATGTCAGGCGAGCATGGTCATGCCAGTTAAAGAATTATGTTATATTAAACTAATATAAATACAATAGGACTACGTTAAGTATCGTCCAGTTCGAAGGCAGGCTGCTGTATTAATGAAACTTCAACTGGAACCAGCCGTCCGTTTGAATTTGACGCTCTCTCGAATCGTTGACGTCTTTCGACCTCACTGTTAATTCCATAGGCGTCTTATTTAATGGTTCTTTGTGAATTGGATTGCACGGCAACCCAGAATGAACTGCACTCACCGGTGCCTCGTCTTTATTTGTCTTGTAACTATAAGTTTACTTCTAAGTCTAGCATTTTCCATATTGCCTGTGTCCTCAATGCTCCCGCTAAGTGGTTTTCTATAATCCATAATCCGGAAATTTTCATCCGTCACAGTTTTCTCAGTATTAATTCGTAGTCTTAATCTGTTCAGCAAAATATTGTTCCAGGTTGGAAACCAGTAGGAATTTAACAGCTTATCATTAAGCATTTTTACCTTGTTGCTACCCAAGTTTAATGTAAATTCCCCCATTGGCCAGTTCTTTTGTCGTTGACAACATTTGCAGTGTGGTCGTAATGTCCTTCACTGGAGTGCCTCTGGCGGACATCTCGAACTTGTGAAGTACCTTATTGAAGCCGGATTGAAGGGCGATGAAGCTGATGAGGTATGTATGCCTATTTCAGTTTGCAAGTGGGGCAGTGGCGTCTTGCCTACCCGCTGACCTACAATTTGCGCAGATTTCTCAATTATTATAATTTTTTTCATTTTGCCCTAAGTACTGCTATTTCCTCAGTCAGGTTGGACTCCCCTGATGATTGCCGTGTCTGCTGGTCGAGATGACGTCGCGGAGTACTTCCTAAAATCTTGTTCTGCTAATCCAAACGCCATAAACTCCACCGGTCAAGCTCCATTGCATTACGCGGCATCCAAGAACCGTCTAAACGTTAGTATTACCATTTCACTTTGAATCATGACTTCTCCCGATTACTGTTGCTTCTACCGCATATTATTTTTTTTTATTTCTGTGTAGTTTGCTCAGGCATTCATCACCTCTTATAAGTT